AGTGCGCGCCCAGGATCCGAACTGGCGAACCCTGGGCCGCCACAGTGGAGCGCGTGCACTTAACCGCTTGTGCCACCGGGTCAGCCCCAATTTTCTCTTCTATTTGAATCAACAACTAAGAATTTCTTTGTAGTAAGATAGGAAGGAGGACAGAAAGAGGCTTTATAACACTTGCTTTATATCTGTTATGTGCTAGAGATACATTGTTGAACATAGTCTCTATCTTAATGGAGCTCAAGTTCTGTTGGGGGTCACATTCTGTTGTGGGAGAGCCTATAAAGCATTATGATACAGTTGATCAGTAAAAATAATAGCTTTTATTTGAGGGCCTTCTCTATTCTACATGCTGTACTTTTCGTGTGGTGGTGGTTGTCTGTAAGAGTCAGTGTTCAACTAAAGAAGAAAAACCAGTAGGAGGTGTGGTGTGTATAGATAAGAGATTGAGGTTGAGATTGAGATCAATTGATTTACTAATGTATATGATTGTGGAGGCTGAATAAGCAATTCTGAAACCCGTAGAGCAGGCCTGTCATAGGCCTGGCCGAAGTTGCTGTCCACTGGTAGAATTATTTCTTCTCTCAGGGAAGCCTCAGTCCTGCTTTTAAGGCCTTTCAACTGGATGAATCTGGCTCACCCAGATCATCTAGAAATCTCCCTTATTTAAAGTCAACTGATTATGGACTTTACTTATATCTACCAACTGCCTTCACAGCAACACCCAGATTGGTGTTTGACTGAATAACTGGGGTAGGGGTGGGGGCCTGAGCCAAGTTGATGCATCCAAAAGACCATCATGTTGTTTTCATTTTTATTGAAGTATATTATGCGTGTAGAAAAAGGCACATGTCCTAAGTTTACAGCTGGAAGAACTTTTATAGATTGGACACATTCAGGTAACCAGCACTGTACAGGGACCCTTTTACGTTTATTTCATTCGAATCTTAAAACAATTCACTGAGGTATAGGAGTTTTCCTCATTTTATAAATAGGATTTTTAGGCTCAGAAAGATCAGGTACCTTGCCCCATGATACAGCTGGTAAGTGACAGAGCTAGAATTCTAACCAGGTTTTGAGGCATGTGTGAAATATTATGGAAGCCCCAAGGTACCATTAGTTCTACATGGGTATTGGGAGAATCTTTGGAACAGGAATGCTTTACTGAAGTGGCCATAGGAATCCCCCTAAGCTGGATCTTAAAGCATGAGTTTAGATTTGCCAAGGAGTGAAATGTTCCTTGGTAAGAGGTACCAGAGAAAGAATAGGGTGTCATTTCAGAGGACAGGAGATGGTTTGTTATGCTTAACTATAGGGTCTTTAGACTGTGGTTGTGGTAATATGGTTTATTGGAATAACAGTTTTTTAGCCCAAGCGCAAAGAACCTTGTTTACTATTTTAGAGAGCTTGAATTTTATGTTTTAAGTAATATAACACGAGAGTGAGTTAATCATCTGCATTTTAGCAAAAATTCGCCCAGTGGTTTACAAAATAGGTTTGAAAAAGGGCAAAGGCTGAAGGCAGAAAAATCGTGTCTTATTGAGAACCAAAAGTAGAGCACTAAGGATTAAGAGGAGGGAAGAGCATGGAATTTAGGAAGACTTTTCTGAGAGAATTGATGAGTTTGGTAAATCATTAGATGTAGATAATAAAGAAGAGGAATTAAGGATGGCTGTGATTTTCTTGTTGGTGTGACCCATTGGAAGGCAATTCCATAGATAAGGAAATACTGAAGGAGAAGCTGAGTTTGTTCTGAGTTGTTGGTTGGGAGGATGGTGGGCAGAAGAATGAAAAAAAATGGGTTAGGTTTCGGAAGTTTGAGTTTCAGGCCTGAAGGAATTAAAGTGGACATATTCAGTAGGCATTTGGAAATAGTGAGAGTGAAGTTAAGATGTGGATGGAGAGATGGATTTTGTGTGTGTGTGTGTGAGGAAGATCAGCCCTGAGCTAACATCCTTGCCAATCCTCCTCTTTTTGCTGAGGAAGACCGGCCCAGAGCTAACATCTATTGCTAATCCTCCTCCTTTTTTCCCCTTTTTCTCCCCAAAGCACCAGTAGATAGTTGTTTGTCATAGTTGCACATCCTTCTAGTTGCTGTATGTGGGACGCCGCCTCAGCATGGCCGGACAAGCGGTGTATCACTGCACACCCGGGATCCAAACCCGGGCCGCCAGTAGCAGAGCGCGCACACTTAACCACTAAGCCACGGGGCCGGCCCCAGAGAGATGGATTTGATAATCATTGGCTAATTGCTAGAAGTAGGTTAAGGCTATAGGACTGGATTAGTTCTCTCAGGTGAAAAGAAAAGGTAACCAAAGATGGGATGGTAGGGAAAACCTCCAGTACTTAAGACTTGCATGGAGGAAGAGGAGCAGTTATCACAGAATTAAGAAACCAAGAACATAGTTATAGCCTGACAAAGCCAGAAGAGATCATTTTCAAGGAGGTTGTAGATAGCACAAATAGATCATATTTCTGGACCAAATAAGATGAGGACTGAGAAAAGGCTAGCTAATTCAATTTGGCAATTTGGAAAAGCATTGGTGATTGTGAGGCAGATACCCCAAGTGTTTGGAAGCAGGTTTATCCAGAATTGAAATAATAGAAATCAACAAATACTGAATAAGGTAAGCTATCTGTAAATATAACCAAACCTAACAAATGGTCAATAGATATGTAATTAAGGAGACTTGGGAAACACCGCAGGGCACTTGGATATATTCTATGCATTTGAAGATACATTGATTACCTGAAGAAAGAATGGAGTTCTGCAAGTGAAGAACCAAAGAGTAACCATTTTCTCTGTTTAACCAGCAGTTGGTCAGAATAAGTGGTATTGATATTACTAGAGCAATACATATTCTGTTATGAGGTACCAAAGGGTTTTCAAATTCTTGTATCACTTAAATGATTATCAGATTGTTAGATGATTCTTGAGGTCCCTCAGTAAAATCTGTGATTTCTAATTATAATTATTTTCTATGCCATATGGGAAAATTTTGGATATTAAAAATAGAAATGAAAAGACATAGAGCAATCTTAAATGCATATTAAGTGAAAGAAGCCAGTCTAAAAAGGTTATAGCCTATGATTACAGCTATATGACATCCTGGAGAAGGCAAAACTATGGAAACAGTGAAAAGATTAGTAGTTGCCAGGGGTTGGAGTGGAGGAGGGACTAATAGGGGGAGCATAGGGGATTTTTAGGGCAGTGAAACAATTCTATATGATACTGTAATGGTAGATACATTATACATTGATCAAGACCCATAGAATGGTACATAGAATGTACAGCACGGAGAATAAATCCTAACGTAAACTATGGACTTTGAGTGATGATGATGTTTCAATGTAAATTCATCGATTGTAACAAATGTTATTGGATGTTGATAGTGGAGGAGGCTGTACTCATGTGGGGCAGGGAGTATATGGGAACTCACCGTACTTTCTGCTCACTTTTGCTGTGAACCTAAAACTGCTCTTAAAAATAAAGTATATTTAAAAAAAAAACCTGAAGATTCATATCTCAATTGTTCATCTATTGTGTACTTTCACACTTTTTAAAACATAATTTTCCTTTCTATCCTAGACCTGAAAGGCTACTCAAAGGAGTTTAGAAATCTGATAAAATGAGTTTGACTTTGCACATTTTGTAATGAAAAAAGAATTATGGATAAAAGAAAGAGAAGAAAACTAAGGTCAAATGTCTTGAAATTCCAGTTTATTTTCAGTTAACTAGAGTTTTAAAACATTCTAGAAATTTTGAGCAAATAAAATATTTCCTGAAACATTACCATATATATACACAGAACATTTCTTTGATTTGTTACTGGACATTTTGACAATCTTTACAATGTTTGTAACATTTGACAGTAAGGCCAGTCATTCAACAAAACTATTAAGTGCCTTATCTCTGGCATAAAACAGACAGCAAGTGACAAGATATTCCTTGTCCTTCTCTCATTGAGTTTATAATCTAGAAGACATTGAGCAGTTAAGTGTCACTTCAGAAAGACCTTCTCCAGCCCTTCTGTCTAAATTAAGTCTCTTTTGTTACTCTTCCTTATACCACTTTATTCTCTTCCTTCAAATGACGGTTACCACAATTATTTCAAAGTACAGTTTATATTAATTATTTGGGTGTCCTTCTGTGTAATTTCTCTCCCTGTACCAGAGTGTGAGGAAGGAAGCATGTCGGTTTCCACATCATCCTACCTTCGAGTCCGTTGTGCAGTGTAGAGTTAGCATGCAGTACAGACTTGTTGAGTAAATCATGAAGGAATGGTGACTGTCTTTAGTGTTCCGTAGAAGTGCAGAATGCTGTCAAGTAGGCAGATTTGGTCTAGTGTGAGAATAAGGGCCTGAAAATGAGGGTGGTGTGTTCTCCTCAGAGGGCAAGGAGGATGAATATAGAAATTTTGCCTTTAATTTAGAAATATCGAAGCTATTCATGACCTTAATGACATGAAATTTGGTGCTATAGTGAAGGAATGCAATTCAGATTACAGTTGATCCTGAAATGAATTAGCCAGAAGATAAAGCAGTGAGCTTTTCCCAGAAAAGTAGATTGCAAACACTTACTGCTGCATTATTCATTTGTTATTTGTAGGAGAGTAAGATAAACTATAGAAAGAGAAAATTACTATATTTTAAGATTTTTTCACTGCTACACAAAAAACAAAAGTGCGTGAATACTTAACTGCGTAAGTGCTGTGGTAGAGGCTGCTGGGAGGACCTGGATAGTTGTTTTCTAGGAGTTACTGCCGCTTTTATCTTTCAGATTGAAAGTGTTGAGTGAATAAGAAAGGATGAAAAGGGTATTTTGGATTGGTTAACACTTAAATCGTCAGTCCTCTAATTTCCCAAGAAGTTAGAGCACTGAGAAATCACGGGAGATTGTTCACAAAGCACCAGAAGCCCTGGCTGCCTCTTTTCCTTGTGCTTTTGTAAAATATTTCTTAATCTATGAATTTGTCTCTTAATTTTTTTTTTTTTTTTTTTACTTTCAGGTGTTGGTAAATCATGCTTATTGCTACAGTTTACAGACAAGAGGTTTCAACCAGTGCATGACCTTACTATTGGTAAGTTTTATAAAAAGAGATGAGAAGCATTCAAAACTTTTGGGTAGTGGAAATAGAATATGCTAGAGGGTCCATTCTATTAGTGATGGGTCAAAAAATCAATGAAACTAGATTTGCTGCTGTGCAGAGTTTAGTCTCCAGCACTTTTTGAAAATATAAGTGTAGTAAAAATAATATTACCTAACTTTGTAAAAGTGCTTGGAGCGCAGCAAGACATTAATATTTAAGATTTTGATTCTGTTTAATGATGAAACAAATGATTGAGAGACAATACAGCATATAGGTAAGAAGAGCGACTCTAGACCAGCTTGCCAGAGTTTGAATCAAGGCTCTGCCACTAACTAGCTGGGCAAGCCACTTTACTATAAAGCCACTTTATCTATAAAATGAGAATAATACTATTGTGAGCAATAAATGAGTTAATAAATGTGAAGCATTGGAACAGTCCCTGGTGACATGGTATGTGCTTAGGCTTACCTATAATTGTTAATCGAGAAAAACTGCCATCAAACAATTTTTGGTTTCCTCAGTTGTGGAGAATAAATGAGATAGTTACTGGTAAGAAATAGTCAACAAATATTAGCTATTATTATTAGTGATATTATTCATTAATAACAAAAGTATAAAATTAAAATGAGTGAAAAACTAAAAACTTTTAAGTGTATGTTTTGGGGTTCCTGTTTGTTAAACAGTTATATTTTCACCCTGAAAGCTAAAGAATCTAGCTGAATTATTCTTCCTTGGCTGTAGCCCATTAACAACTAGAAATTAGTCAACTATGAAGAAGTAAGGTAATTGGAAATCTACTTAGACTTTACAACTGATAGCTTGATGTGTTTTTTTCAGCCAGTGACTGCTTGTTTTCTATAGATATTATTAACTCACTGATAGTAGCAAGTTGATTCTCATGTCCTGTGTAAAATACCAAATTGAAGATAGAGTTTATGAATCAAATTATTAGATCGATTAAGTTTTCAACCAAGCCACATGTACTTTGAAGATATATTGAAGACTTTCCTTAGTGGCTACTGTCAATAAGAATATTCATATTCCCTTTTACTTTTGATAGTTTTAAGTACACACGATAATGATGGGTAAAACAGGTACTACTGTTTCGTGCTAGTCTTCATGGTGTAGTTTAGCTTTGGTGAGCTCATTTTTATGTATAATCTGCTCTTTGCTCAATAGGCCTGAACCTTGATAGCCATCTCTTAGGCATCACTCAGTCCTGAGACAACTAGCCCAACAGTTATTTTTAGTGTAGGGTATAAACAAAAATGTCTTCCTCTTCATTGAAACTGGTATAAATTTCTAAGTTGTTACAGCACACCTGATGGAGAGGATGGGCCTGAGCCTGGGGTCAGAAATTGACATAGGCTATACTTCTGGAGAGAGATAAGGGAGTAGACCAAAGGGAGTTGTTTGGAAAACTGTAATTTACGCAGCTGTACCAGCTGGCTTCCCTGTGGATTTGCAAATGGGAGGCACTGCATCTTCTCTTCTCTCTCTGCCTGGGTTAACTGTATGTCGTCCATGGCGCGAGCCCCAACCCCTGCCCAGCAGGTCCACTGCTGGTCTGGCTTCTCAGCTCTGGTAACCCTGGTTTGTCTCTTTGTCCCCCGAGCCTAGGGATGGTAGCAGCTTCCTGCTGTTGCTAATCTCTGAGTTGCTTTACCATTTGTTTGGGCTTTTTAAGCTCTTCCTTTACTATAACCAATTCCCTACATTAAATTTTCTTTATTTTACATATTTAAGTATGGTTTTTGTTTTTCTGGTTGGACCCTGACTGCTATACCTTATGATATGCATCACAACAATTTATTTTTCAGACATAAAAACAATTTAGCAGGCCATTAACACATATATAGATATATTTTTTTATAATTTTATTTATTTATTTATTTTCCCCCCAAAGCCCCAGTAGATAGTTGTATGTCATAGCTGCACATCCTTCTAGTTGCTGTATGTGGGACGTGGCCTCAGCATGGCCGGAGAAGTGGTGCGTCGGTGCGTGCCCGGGATCCGAACCCGGGCTGCCAGCAGTGGAGCACGTGCACTTAACCGCTAAGCCACAGGGCCGGGCCCATTAACACGTATTTTTAGAAAAAAACATTGAAACATTTGCTAAAATTGGCAAAAGACAGTATCTTGATTCTGCTGCATACTTGCCTTTGCCTGATGAAGAGAGGATGGTGAAAAAGTTGAGGTTGAGTCATGACTAAGAATTTTTAATGATAGAAAAGAAGAAATAAAAGACCATAAAAAGTGAAGACCCTATGAAATGTTCCTTAGCCTTTGACTGCTGTCTCAATGAGAATTGTTGTGATATGGATCAAAGAAGTAATTTATAAATAGCTTTCTGGATACAGTTACATTGAAGGTCCAGATTAGTCTTGCTTCTCAAAGGATGGTTCAAGGGCCATTGCAGTGAACTAGCCTAAGTATGTGTGGGAACTTGCTTAAGAATCTACTGAATCCGATTCTGCGTTTGAAGGTGATCTCCAAGTGATTCATATGCATATTAAAGTTTGAGAAGCATTGGAGCAGTGGCTTTTAGCTATTGATGACCCAGGTAGAAATATGTTTTATGTTGTTGACCTTATGCACACATGTGAGCACACCCCCACACACATCTTGGCCTCTCAGTTCCTTACTTCGTCTCCTCCTGTGATCTTGCTTCCACTCTGCCTCAGCTGCTCACTCCTATTGTCACAGCCAGGACCTTGTCATTACCAATATTTGGAACCACTCCAGAATCTCAGTTTCATGCATCTGGCTATTTGACTATCCCTCCCATCCTTCCAACTTGCATCCTCTAGTTCCTAATGCTAAGGATTTATTTACGCCATCAGACCTATAATCCGTTGATCCTACCATCTTTTCACTCTCACCCCTCTCAAGTTCTTACTTCCCTCGTTACTCAGCTTTAATTCTAACCACTATAATTATGTCATAATCACTCCTGCGTACACCCTCAACCCACTTGCCCCCTCTGTTCATCATACTCTTGTGGCTAACTCCTAGGTTAAATCCAACTATTTACTCCATGCCTGCATGGAGAAAAACACAGAGCTGTGTAACTGGTCTCATATTAATTTCTTGGACACTAACTTCTAACTGCCCAACAATGACACTTTGTGTCCAGTCCCTTCACTCTCCACTTTCCTGTATGACACCTTTCCTGTCTTCACTCTCAGATGAAAACCTTGGATTCTATTTCACTCAGAAAATAGAGGCAAAAAGAAGAGCGTTTTCACAGGTTTCTACCACCATGTAGACCCACCTACGTGCATTGTGTCCATAAACTCACCTTCTCCTTGCTAATGTGGATGAACTCTAAGTTGCAAGGCATACTCAAGAGCACTGCTTCAGCAGGTTTTTTTTCTTCCGGACATTATTAATTTTTTCCCTTTTTGATGGTTATTTTTCATGACTTTATTTTCTTTTCCAGCTTTCAATCCTTTTCTCTCCTTTTAGCAAAAGTGCTCAGAAAGAATTGTCTGTGTTTTTTATCTCTAATTTTTCTCCATTCATTCTTTCTTGAACCCACTCCAACTGGGGCTCTCCTTCTCGTGTACACATACTAGCTGCTTACTGAACATCTCTTCTCTTGTATGCCTAATTGGCATCTCAAACTTCACATGTCCCAAATAGCTCCTGGTTTTTTTCCTCCCAGATCTTCACAAGTATACATGTACACACACACACCCATACCCATCCTCTCACCTAGATTTATTTTTCTCTGTAACTTTTTATACAAGTAAATATAAATGAACGTTGTCTCCCACACATGTAAAGTGAAGCCCATGACAACAGAGTTACCTGTTTTGTTCATTCCTTTATCTCCAGCACCTGATACATATAAAGACTCTGTAAATATTGCTAAATTAATATACTGCCTCTCTGGAGGGAAAGCTTTGTAAAGCAACATTTAACATTACAGTGCTTAATGCATGCATCCCTTTAATGCTATTCAATTATGTTGTTTACAAATAATTCTAGTTACAGCCCACTAATTCCCAATACATTTATTTCACTACCTGCTAATGGACACACTGGTCTAGAGGCTGAGCCATTTATATGTTGATTCCACCTTCTTACCTATCTCCCCCACTTCTTAACCAGTCAGCCTGTAAGAAATAACTAGTAGGAGGGAAAGTATACTTTTGGGGAAAAGGTGGAAGAATTGAAGCATCATTTCTTCTGTTAGGCTCCCCACAGGAGATCAGTTAAAAATACACCTCATTTATTTGGGGTTCGATTTTCTGATAACTTGAGTTATCTAGCATTACATTGCCAAGAACTAGGAAGATAGCTTAAAAGACCTCTTGTGAACATCTAATTTAGATCTCACAAAGTCTATGTACCAGAATTTTAAAATGTAGATGTATTTTCCTGACAAGGTGTGATTAGTATGAAAACACTGTAAAAGTCCAGAGAAAGTTAAATTCCCTGTATAACTTGCCTTTGGCCCTCCAGCTATCACAGTGGTTACTGTGATAAGTTTGGTGTGTGTATCGCCTTCTAGAGTTTTTAAATGTATCATGAACACACACAAAGCTGTTCTACTTTGCACTTCCTCCACCAGTGTCCTATAGTACCCATTCTCCTCACCCTTGCCTCTACTGCAGCTTATTAATGTTTTCAAAACTTGTGAATTGGAGAGGGAAAAATGGTTATTTTACTTTTCAGTTCCTTAATTTTTGGTGAGGCTGAGCATTTTTTATATGTTTAAGAACCACTTCTATGTCTTCTCTTTTAATTACCTGTTTATATCTTTGCCCCTTCTACTACTAGTTTTCTTTAGTCAATCCGTTGATGTTTTTCTTTATGGCTTTCAGGTTTACTAAGTAAAGCTCCCCAGTGCAAAAATTACATACATATTCTGTTAAATATTCTTCTAATACTATAAATTTGTACTCCATCTGGTATATGGTCATGTATATGATTTTCTTTAATTGCTGTATAACTTGTGACCTCACACTATTAATTAAATAATT